ATTATTTCTTTGTATATAAATTATATGCTGCCTAATGTTTTATGTTTATAAAAAAACTATCGATCCACAGTACAAAAAAATTCCTATAAAAAAACTACTACTAAGACATAACACTATATTAATTGAACTATATACTTAGTTCATGACATTAACTGAATACACTTGTAAAAATAGAATACGTGGATTTACCACATCAAAAGAAAAGTTCAAATAAAATTCTCACTTAAAATTTTGAAAAACTTAGCGTTGCGTCTTTGCACGTTCCGATATTGTACACAACCGTCAATAATAGCACATAAAAAAAAAACATCTTTCGGTCGATAAACAATTATGTCGTTTTCAAGTTTTTGATTTTATAAGGAAAACATATGCCTGACGATGAATAAAAGATTATTCGAAAGTACTTGCATTTTAAAAAAATATAAACTGTAAAAAACAGTCAACAGTTTTATAGATGAGGATCACGTCACTCTATGGATTAACAGTATTTTAATGCATACATTATACACTACTAGCGATGGATGTCGCCAATAATACCATTAATATTACTGATTGATTCTATGTGTGATTATTTCTTTGTATATATATATACTTTTAAATGATTTTTTTTTCACGATTTTTTACAAGTGTTTCCGGAAAACGCACAGACCCCTTTTACAGAAAATATACAGGCGGCTCCAAATATGTCCCCACATTTTGGAAAGTAATTAACGAAAAGAAATAGCCGAGTTCCAATTCTAGTCGAGTTCGTCACATTTATTTCTGCGCAAAAACCTTTGGGAAATGTATAAGGACACCTCTTCTAGCCCCTCCCCCAGCTATGTGTTAAATAATAGGACTTGTGTCACTAAATCATTATTATCTCAACAAATTTTACAATCTAAAAGTATTTTAACCTACAAAGGGTTGATAAGCCGTAAAAAACAAATAACTCATTCAATCAACAGATCTAAATGGGTTACAGGATTCGTAATTGTGAATCGAAAAAAAGCCATTATGAAAAAGGAAGAAACTTCATTCATTCTCGAGTTAACGGTCTCTGCTGACATGAAAGGGTTAATTTGCAGTATAAGCACCAAAAACACCTGGTATTGAGAATGTGTCATTAAGGAGGCACGGTGGAGTAATGGATAGCGGCTCGGATTGAGGAATCGGTGAGCCGAGTTCGAATTCCGGTCTGGGAAAGGTATGAAGCTATGGGTAAATAACCGGATAACGGTTTTTATATCCTTGAATGGAAAGAAATGGCAACCGAATGCGGGAAAAAAAATCTGTCTCGTCAGTCATGTATCGAAAGATACATGATCGTCTAAGGAGTAAAATTGCCTGTTTATTTCGAAAATGACATTAAAACTTAGCGATTATCGTGTTCGATTTATCGCTAATGTAATTTCGATCTCTTTCGCATTGTCCGGCCGCTATTACATATGTTTTCCTCCACTAGTAATGTGCGGAAGCTTACTTAGTTAAAAGCCTTTTTACAGCTTTTCTTACTGGTCTTCATTACTGCGCGATTTTTGCAGATGTTATTTTAAAATGCGCTTATTTTTTTTTAAAAATGATGCTTTAAGCTTCATTTTAAAATGAAGCTTTTATTTATTGTCCTTATTAAATCAGCTTATAGCTAATGGAACACAATCTCGCCCTAAAATATAATCTACGAAGCTGTAAATTCAAGAAACTTGAACGGCATATAAAAAAAAACATCGTTGAAAAAAGTAAAAAATCCTTTTTCTTTTTTTTTCTTTTTCAGGCACTTAATTTTTATTTTATTTTATTTTAATTGTCGGATTCTATGTTTTTTCGCGCATTATTTCGCGCATTCATTCTAAACTTTGCGCATTGCGCATTAATCAAGACAAGTGAGGCTTCCGCGCCACATGACTACTCGAGGCAAACGTATGTAAACAAAGCCAGTAATGGCGGACGTTCTGCGTGCGCAACGAGAAAGGACTCGAACTTACATTGTCCATAGCTTGCAAAAGGAAATCGAACGCAGTGTTTTAAAGACATTTTCGAAATAACCAGGCAATTTCATATCAGAATGGTACAGTCTCAATACCGTGGGATTTTGGTGCTTATACTGCAAATTAACAGAGGAAAGATTATATCGAATCGACTGTTAGGTTTGCTTGTTAGCAAAGTTGATTCACTGTGTCGTGCTAGACAATTTTTCTCACAAGAATCTATCTTACATATCTATACGTCTACCATTTGTCCATGCTTTGAATATTGCTGTTACATTTCGTCTGGTGCTCCTGCTATATATTTAGAGATATTTGATAAAATAAAAAGAAGAATCTGAAATGTTATTGGTCCTGACCTGGCATCTCGGCTTCAGTCACTTTCCCACCACCGTAATGTAGCTTCCCTGTGCCTTTTCTATAAATACTTTCATGTAATTCTTCTAATGAACTTTCTTCTATAGTAGCAAGACTATAAATTTAAGTACAATACTAGATTGGTAACAAGGTCTCATCAATTTACAGTTGGATTGGCTAGATGTAACCGTAAGTTCTATGCTTATAGTTTCTTCTCTCGCAGTTTTTAATTATAAAACTCTCTTCGAGCTTTTTACTCTCCAGTCAACTTTGATCTTCAAAAATTTAAATGTAATGTCAATTGTCATCTACTGTTTTTTTTTATTCCTCTTTTTTTTATTTTTCTCGCTCCTTGGTATCGTTTTTTTTTTTTTTCTTATTCTTTCACACTCAGTAACCCATTGTGTCTTAGTGGCTTTACTGCCTTACTTGAGGTGAAATCATTAAAAGAAAGAAAATTTGATGCGTTAAAAAATTTGTTACGTTAATTCTTAAGTCTGCATCAATATTTAATCAGACGATCTGTTGCTGAGATTTGGTTGTAATAATGTGTTCGATTTGCGATAGGTTTTATTTTGCGTCCATTGTATTTGTATATCAGGTTTACTTATTCTAATTTTAAATTCACGGCAATCATTTAAATTTTCAAATGCGAACGCGTGACATTTATCTGATATCCCCAAGGAGGATCGCTGATCCCAGTTTTGAAACCACTGCTCAAGAGTGTTCATTTTCCCCTAAGGGGTTATATATATACGTGTGAACGTGAAAGTGTGTGTGTGTGTGTTCAAACAATTTTTGTTAATTTTTTATATGTTACTATATCGTCTACTACACAAACAACAGTCAGTTCTTGATATTTACTGAGACATTCGAATGTCTTCTTCTTTCTGTGCAGTGTTCCCCCAGGAGGAAGGTGATCATAGCTCTCCACAACTTCCTATCCTTTGTAGCTCTTAATAAATTTTGTCTCTATGTTATCTCTCCTAAACCTTGTTCCACCATGCATTTACTCAAGCCCATTATGTATGTTATGCCGTGTTTTCTTCTGTTTGTCTTGCCTTCAAGACTTATCTTATTTTCCAAGCCGTCTTTCCTCATTATGTACCCGAGAAAGCTCAACTGTCTCTTTCTGATGTTAAGTATAAGTTTCCTTTTTGTTTCCATTTCCTCTAAAACTTCGTCATTGCTCACAATTTCGGTCTATGTTATCCTCAGCATCCTTCTGTAGAAACACATTTCTGCCGCTTCAAGTCTCTTCTTCATCTTTGAGAAGATTGTCCAGCACTCACTGTCATACAGGAGGACTGGTATCATGTAACAGTTTAGTACTCTTTTCATTGTTTCTAGTAATTTTTTTTTCTATGTCTTAATACTCTGCTTAGCTTTTGGAAGGCATCTTTGTCTATCCCAACACGGCTTCGGATTTTAGTGTCAAACTTTGCGTCTTCTGTTAAAACACTTCCAGTTGAACAAAAACTGAATAAAATATGAACTTTGGACTGTTTATCAGTAATTCTGATTTGGATCAGCCAAATTTTAATTAAAAAAAAAATGGAAAAATACAATATAAATGAACCAGCCAGACCATGACGATTGAATTTAACAGAACTTAATTTGATAAATTCTTCCTACCAAAATACAACCGATTTTGGGCCATGCAATACTTTGGTATTTCTAAAATTTTGGTGCACCCCCACAGTAATATTTAATTCTTACATATTCAAAGTTTTACTGTAATTCCGTGAAGGAAGCTTAAAAGGTCTTTAACTTTGTCTCTAAACAAGCCTTCAGAGAAAATGGCGACCATGAAAGAGAAAATTAAAAAAAAACAAACAAAAAAACAGTTAAATATATATAGTTTCAAATATATAATAGAGAACTGAAAGGTAGAAATATAAAATATTTGAATGAAAGCTTATTCTGTAATATACTTTGATCATTTTAATCATGAAATAATAATGCAAAATGAAATTTGAGCTCACTAGATAACAATTCGCTGCTAATAACTGATTCTCGAAATGACCCCTTATTCTGTTAGTACAGTAAGACGAAGGGTGCACATCCTACGCATGTTCCACTAAAATATTACCATGCTCCACATTGGTAATCATTGCTTTAAATATATATATATATATATATATATATATATATATATATATATATATATATATATATATATATATATAAAAAAAAAAAGGATCAAACACTAATATTTCATGGTTATAATTTATTACATTGGAATCGGAATCACAATCCAATTCATCAGACCTACAAAAAAAAAAAAAAATATTACTCTGTCCTGGATTCTATGAAATTTTATATATATATATATATATATATATATATATATATATATATATATATATATATATATATATATATATATATATATATATATATATATATATATATATACTATATTATCTATATCTATACCTATATATATAGAAAAAGTTGCAAATTTAAAAAAATAATAATGTCTTTTATGAAAGTATTTATTTATTTATAAATATATTTGAGATTTCAGATTTCAGATCTTTCTTCAGATATATATATATATATATATATATATATATATATATATATATATATATATATATATGCGCGCACGCGTGTATGTGTGTTAATTGCGTATGTGAACAAATGTATATGTTGCCTTCTCTTCCACCCTCTCAGTATGTTCATATGTTTCTCACTTTGGCCCTCTCGGTCTGCCTCTCTTATTCTTTAACCTCCCCCTCTCTCTCCTCTCTCTCTCTCTCTCTCTCTCTCTCTCTCTCTCTCTCTCACTTCTATCTATCTATTTATCTATCTATCTATCTCGTCTGATTTTAATGGGAATCTATAAAAAAAAAAAAAAAAGATATCTCGCGCAATCGACAACGTCTCTTTCAGACCAATTATCCGCCGCCTCTCCTATTGCTGCCGACATTGTTCCCATTGTTCTCGCCGAAATAAAAACGGAAATAACGTCCAAGCAGCGGTGCACCCACCGCACACACACATCCACGCACACACACACACATCTACGCACACACACATCTACGCACACACACATATCTACACACACATACGTTCCGACCAGTTTCACTGCCACGGTGTCCATCTTTCTTTTCAATACATTGGCATTCATCACTGGAGGTCTGTATCGGAGTTCGTGTTTAATGTTCTCAGCAAACCTTTCCCATCTCGTTCTACTAAAGACAAATATCTCTCTTCCTTTGTGTTGTGCAGCTTAAGGATTAGATGAAGTAAAAGACCTTTACCTATTTAGCTGGACACTTTCCATAGAAATGGACTTAGCGAAAAGTAGGTAATTATCATCGTCTTTTGATGCCTACAGTATGTTTATCTTTGAGAGCATTCAGAATATTTGCCGTTCGTCTGGTCACTAATTTCTGTTTTAAAATAAAAAACGTTTCTTAGAAATACGAAACAACCAATTATTTGTTTGTGCTTTATTACACTGAATATAAGGATCTATTATTTAAAAGGATCTATTGATTTGAATCAGAAATTTTGGTTTGCGATTTTATTCTTTCGTTTCAGCCAATCATATTCGTTATTAGTAGGTCAATCATGTTGTTATTCACAATTTTAAAAGTAAGTTACAATTGGTAAATATGGAGAAACATTTAAAGGTGAAATAATATTTTAAAGTTATGAAAGAACATTTTATTACCTGGCGCATACAAAGAAAACAGCTTTCAGTTACATCCTAACTTCGGTGAGGTTTTGAGTTAGGACTAACTCTACCCTTAGGAATAATTCTACCCTTACACCTAACCCAGCAGAATTATAGACAAGGGTGCCTTACAGATAATTAATATAAGGGTTCTGCAGGTTCAAAAGTACCAAAAAGCTAATCAGGTTTGATATATTCATGGAACTCTAACAAAAATCCTAACCCTGTACAATTACAGATTACCGGGTGGAACAGAATAATTGTCCACCCAGCAAAATGTTTAATATCTAAAAAAAAAAGAAACACTAAACTAATTGAGTTTTTTTTTTTTCAGGCTTTCAGATAAGACATTTAGACATCCTGACACCATGTCTCGTAAGAATCACCGAATAATCCTTTGAGTTATTCAATTAGAAAGAGAACAGGTTAAAATCGTTTTGTCTGTCTTCCCAACTGAGCAAAGGTGTGACGAAAAAAAATAATTCAGTCCTTCAGTAATGGTACGAACATTCATACATACCCTGGCTTCCATCTTCAAAGTCCTGTCAGGAATCACCAAGAGAACGCTAAATATCTTTTAAAAAAAAGAGGGAGGGGACTGTAGAAAGGAAAACTGGATCAGGGGCCACAATAACAAGAGGGATCATCATTTCAACTTAGAAATAAAGAAATCAATTAAAAACGATCCAACTCAATCCATAAGACGTTTGGCACGTGGGAGAGGAGTTTCAGCAATGACAGTCCAAAGAGCAGTGAAAAAAGACTTGAAAATGAAATCGTACGTGAAATCTCTGAGGCACCTTGTTACTCCAGGAGAGAAAGTTAAAAGGTTAGAGAGGGTGTTGAGTGGTCTCTGACTGCTCACGCCTCCTGTTGAACTCTCTACTTTGGCAGAGAGGAAACCGGACGAGGCTTTGCCGAAGTGCAAGGTTTCGTCCGCGGAGGTAGACAGGGCCTGAACCCGTCTAGGCGGGTTCAAAGGCTATTTTTTGGCCGAGACTACATTAAAACCGGCCTTGTGCCATATTCGTTTCTCGTGGGTGAAATGATAAATACCGAAAGGTTAGAGAGGGTGAAGATCATATTGAATAAGTTGGAAAATGATCTTGCAATAATAATAATACACACACACACACACACACACACACACATATATATATATATATATATATATATATATATATATATATATTTGAACTTAATTTCAATCCTTCATGAGCTTCCGATCCATAGCTATGATTAATTAATGAACATGTCATTATCGTTTATGATCGATTTCATCACGATTCTTCTGTTAATCTTGGAGAGTCATACACTCTTACTGTTGAACGTAGAGTCCAATATTGATATAAAAATCTCTGAGAATTGCAGTAAGATATCTTTAATCATTTCTATGATACAACGGTTCAAAGCTTAATCGAACAATTGGACAATTTTGCTGTTACACGATTTGGACAATTTTGCTGTAACACCCGTATATATAATTTATATGAGTTGCCAGCAGATAAAAAAAAAAGAACTACAGAAAGCTATTTTAGGTATGACATAAGTATGACATTTCTAGAGCTCCAAATGTGCGTCGAACTCCGTATCAATGGATGGTTGAGACCCATACAATAAACATCATACTCTAGATCGGAGTTTCTCAACCTTTTTAAGCAACGGCACACCTAGGAGCAAATGAAAATATCACAGCACCCTTAGCAAAATCTTTGAAGGTTATACATTTAAATATTATGAAATAAAATCATAGATTTTAGAAAAATACTCACAAATATGAACTTATTTTATTTGAATGTTTCTATCCAACTATTAAATGAATATTAAAATAAAGTATTTAAAATAACATAATCGAAGAATAGTGGATTTTTTTTCCGTTTCCTCAATCCTCTGTATTCTCAGTCTTTTCTCTCACTTTCACTAACCCTCTGCATCTTAGTGGCATTATCACCTTGCTTGGGGTGAAATGATTAAAAAAGACAAAAAAATGTAGAAAATTTAAATGTCTGAAATGTGTCACTGAAAAGTGCATTGGAACAGTGAAAGATCCCTTCCATAAGCTAAGCAAAGTATTAAGAAGCAAGAAAATGTTGTTAGAAACAAAGAAAAGAGTACAAAAATCTTATGTATTTATTGGTTATCCTCTAGCGTCGTAAATGTTGGACAATCTCCTCCCAGATGTAGAAGAGACTTAAGGTAAAAGAATTCTAATCATCACTTCTTACAACAGTGTTTCTCAATCTTTTTAAGCAAAAGCACACCTGGGAGCAAATGAAAATATCGCAGCACATTTAGCAAAATTTTTAAAGTTTATATATTTAAATGTTATGAAATAAAATCATAGATTAAAAGCAAAATACACGCACAAATATGAACTTATCTTATTTCCATGTTTCTATTCAAATATTTATGCAGTTTATTTAGTGTGAAATATGTCTGGTTTTTCGTCACGATTTCTTCAATGTTTGTTCGGAGGTGCGAGAAGCAGATCCTCATTTCTTCTTCAGTTGAGCGTAGTTTTTCCCGCTTCTTATTTTTGATGTTATTTAAGGTTGAGAAGCCAAATTCGCATAAATAAGAAGTAGAAAATTGCATTAAAACTGATAACATTTTTTTGGCTAATGTCGAATATTACATTTGTCTTGAAATCCAAAATGCACCAATGACAATATTACTTCATAATTCAATATAACTTTGTAAAATTTTTTTGATTAAACAAAGAATGTTGAATACAATTATATAAAAAAAGATTAATATTCATTTATTCAAATAAAGGAAAATTTTAAAAGACTAAATTAAAAATTATAAATACTTTTTTAAAATGAATATTAAAATAAAGTATTTAAAATAACATAATCGAAGAATAGTGGAAAGAATTTTTTTTTTTTAAAAAACATTTAATATTTTATTAAATTTATATTTATTCAAATACTAACCCAGCACTTTTATTACTTCCACATACACATATATAAGTATGCCGTGACAATATTTTGCGGTACACTTAAGAGGATCGCGAGGCACATTAGTTCGCTGAGGCACAGCGGTTGAGAATCACTGCCCTAGAAAATATGAAAGAAAGAAAGAAAGAAAGAAGGAAGGAAGGAAGGAAGAAAGGAAGGAAGGAAAAAAGAAGAACAAGAAAGAAAGAAAAAAGAAAGAAAGAAAGTAGAACGAGAAAGAAAAAAGAAAGACGAACGATAAAGAAAGAAAGAAAAAGAGAAAGAAAGAAAGAAAAAGAAAGAAAGAAAAAAGAACGCGAAAGAAAGAAAGAAAAATAAAAGAAAGTAAAGAAGAAAGAAAGACAAAGAAGAATGAAAGAAAGAAAGAAAGAAAAAGAAAGAAAAAAGAAAGAAGAATCAAATAAAGATAGATAGATAGATAGATAGATAGATAGATAGATAGATAGATAGATAGATAGATGAAACAGTCGCCATTGTGTTGTGTTTCAATTTTTTAAAGATTTCTTCTTTTTCGGTTTTTAAGTTTCCAAGTGTTCTTCAATCCCCGTTAAAATAAGAAAAAAAAAAGATTACATATAAATTCGTTTGTTAAAGAACAATGATTTCATAATTGAGTCTTTAATTATCGAGGGCGGTGGCTGTAATAACACTTTCACATAATTTTTCGTTCGTATCCATCATTAAAAACTGTATTACTATTATTATTATTATTATTATTATTATTATTATTATTATTACTGTTGTTGCTGTTATCGTATTCGAATCGTTGGTTACAAATACGTTCATTCTGTGCATTGGCAACAGTCATCCAAAAGTGACAAAAGAGACTCAAGAAAAGACGTGGGAGGAAGACTGAAGGAGAAGAGAAGTGAAGCGAAGAGAAAACAAAAATGAAGCAAAAGAGAAAGGGAAAAGGAAGAGGTAGAAATTTTTCAAGGTCAACAATGGCTTCCTGTTCAGTTTCATGTTTTGGAAGAAGTTACACGTCGAGAAAAGTCAGTTGGATTCGGTGTAGTTCAATGGTAAAAGAAATGGTCTCATCAAAAGATAGTAAATAAAATACGGTTTTGTTTCAAATCTGATTTAATCTAAACAAAAGGAAACTGTTTTAGAGATTGTCCAGTATTCATTGCAATATAGGAACATTTGTTGTTCAACAAGGAAAGATTCGGAACTGCCATTTA